TGACAGAGATTTGTCCTGACTGTGGGCAAGGCAGGAAAACTCTAGCTACACCAGGCCTTAGTTTCGGGTTTATTAGAGCTGACTGAAGCTGAGCAAGCAGTACTTGGAAAGACCACAACTCAGGGACAGCCAATCAGCAGGCGCCCCGCAGCCTTCTGCTAGCTAAAAATAGCTTTCCCCACCCTGCCACTGGAAAGTCCCTGACTACTAGAGCCACTTACCAATCCTATAACAACTCATAAACTTCTTGCTCAAACCTAACAATCAGCCCCCAGACTAACCTCCCCTCCCTGGGATTCCCCTAACCCTTTGAACTTCTCTCAGGGTCACCATTTGCCTTTGTGTCAGATGTGCGGCCCCAGCATGCTGGTACCTTTACTCTGGGGATAATAAATGCTCTGGTTGATTGCATATATGGATGGTGGTCTTTTGTGGGCCTTCTCCAGGACCCTAACACTAAGTGAATTCCTACCTCTATGATCCCAATCATAGCTTTTAAATTTCTTGTATTTTAAACATTCACATTTCAAAACACTAACATTTTCACTGGCAGACCTTTAAACAAGAAAATTCTGTCTCTACATTTTAAAGTGTAAAATATAGGAGTTTTTAACACGTGAGTGTCCTTCTCCTAGCAATACAAACCACGTCACACCGGAAACCAGAGCACTGCCAATGACGTCATGCCCTCTCTCACTGTTAAGCATCACTATGACAGGAAGGGACAGATGACAGACATTTTTCTTACAATTTTAAAGTTAAGCAACAGAAAATGGAAACTCACAAAATCCCTAACTTTCCAAGAATGTGGCTTGTGACTGTCACCTAGCACTCAGGTAGCTGGGGCTAAGGATCAGAGGTTCGAATCCAGCCTCAGCTACATAAGGACAAGACCCTGGCACTTCCCCATGTCACTAACTCATCTTTATGCTTATTGTTCATAATTTCATGCAAAATACTCACACAACTTTTGTATGCATAAAGGATATTTTGTTCATAATCTATGTCTTTAAAATACTATAACATTCTCATTAAGTGAGAAGAATGATGGTCAAGAGTCTAGATACTGCAGCTGACACCAGTGCTTCGGCTGAATTTATGTCTATAGTAAAATATATAATTTTACTATTATTATTATTATTTAAATATTTGTGTTAATTCTCGGAGAATTTCATACATTGTAAAGTACATTATATTCACCCCCAACTCTCCAAGCTCTCCCCAACTACCTCCCCACCCACTCCCAACTTCATATCCTTTTTTTTTTTTAAGATTTATTTATCTTATTTTGTGACTATTTTGCCTGCATGTATGTATGTATAAATGTATGTATGTCAGTGTTCCATGTGTGTGCCTGTTCCCCAAAGGTCAGAAGAGGGCATCAGATCCCCTGGAACTGGAGCTGTGAACAGCTGTGAGCAGTTATGTGGGGGTGGGAACCAAACCTGAGTTCTCAGTAAGAGCAGTAAGTGTTCTTAACCTCTGAGACATTGCTCCAACCCCCTTTTTTAAAACGTTACCAAGTCTAGTTCATGCTTCCCATATATTCATGGGTTTGAGACTATCCATCGAAGTACAGGTGATTGCCACAGGCCACACCTTTAAAGCAAACTGACTCTTCCTCCCCTAGAAACCATCAACTAGCCATAGCACCCTGGCTAAGGGAGGGACTTGTGCCCCCCCACACACACACACATGCTGGAATGTTGTCTGGTTTGATTTTGTGCAGGTCTTCTGCAGACAGCCATAGCGGTCAGAGTTCATGAGCACAGTGATCCTGTAATCTCCTGAAGACGATGTTTCACACTGGTCCTCCCTGACCTCTGGCTCGCACAATCTTTTCACCTCAGCTTCCATGATGGTCCCTAGCTTTGTGGGGAGGGGAATGGTATAGATGTCTCCTTGTGGATGAGCACTTCACAAGTGCTCATTCTCTACACTTTGACTATTTATGAGTTAAAATTCACTGTCCGCTGAACAAAGAAACTTCTCTGGTGAGGTCAGAGACATCCAGTAATCTATAAGTAGAGAAACAGGAGTTTAGAGGACAGTTCAATTCTGCATCCACTTATAATAACAGTAGTAGATTCACCCCTGGAACCTGTGAGCTCCCTAGCTATGGGCTTAGGGGCAGGCTTACAGTATCGGGAATGTGTTTCCTCCTTAAACTGAATCCTAAGTGTCCCTCAAGGGCCAACTTGTTAAAAGTTTGATTCCTGGAATCTATTTGTAACGGTGGAACCTTTAGAAAGTAGGGCCTAGTAAGAGGTCTCTGAGTCATTCGTAAATGCGCCCTTAGAGCAGAGGGTGGATCCTGGCCTCATCATCCTCTTCCTGTCTGTGAGTTAAGCAGATCTGATCCACCTCAAGCTCCATCCACAGGCTCAAAGCACTGTGAACCAAAACAAACCTCCTGGTTATAAGCTAATTCTCTCAGGCATTTTCTTATAGTAACAGAAACAGACAGACTCTGCATTAATGAACTTGTCATTGTCAAAAATATATGTCCTTCAGCTATCTTTCTTAAAAATGGCCTATAAGCACATACCTCGAGGCTAGAGAGACGGCTCAGTGGGTAAGAGCACTGGTTGCTCTTCTGGGTTCAATTCCTAGCACCCATATGGTAGTTCAGGACTATCTGTAACTCCAATTCCAGAGGGTCCAATGGCCTCTTCTGAGCCTCCCTGGGCACCAGGCACACACGTGGTATACAGACATACAGGCACACAAAACAACCATGCATAAAAAATTAAAAAATGGGCCGGGTGGCGGTGGCACACCCCTTTAATCCCAGCACTCAGGAGGCAGAGCCAGGCAGGTCTCTATGAGATTGAGGCCAGCCTGTTCTACATAGCGAGATCCAGGACAGGAACCAAAACTACACAAAGAAACCCTGTCTCAAAAAAACCAACAAAAAAAAAAATGGATTGATCTTTAAAAAAAGAGAATATTTCATTTTTTTAATAAAATATATCAGGTGTCATAACTGAATCACATTGGAAATATGTACTTTCATCCCACTATGTGAAGATCTCCCACTTCACCCTATGGCTTCTTGTAGCTGGAGAGCTTCTCTCCAGGTTCCCCAAGCCCCGCAGTCCCACAATCCACTTATAAAATAATCACTCAGACGCTTATATCACTTATAAACTGTATGGCCGTGGCAGGCTTTCTGCTAACTGTTCTTTTATCTTAAATTAACCCATTTTTATAAATCTATACCTTGCCACGTGGCTGGTGGCTTACCGGCATCTTTACAGGTTGCCTCTCCTGGCCGTGGCTGCAGTGTCTCCCCTCAGCCTTCCGCTTCCCAGAATTCTCCTCTCTCCTTGTCCCACCTACTTCTTGCCTCGTCACTGGCCACCAGTGTTTTATTTATATAGAACAATATCCACAGCAGCTTCTAATATTTGTTTCTTCAGATATTCAACAACTTCTTTCTATGCATATCATTAACATATTAATCAGGGTTTTCTAGAGACAGGTGATTTTTTTTTTTTGGTGGGGGGTGGGGGGAGAGCTGAGGATCGAACCCAGGGCCTTGTGCTTGCTAGGCAAGCACTCTATCACTGAGCTAAATCCCCAACCCCAAGGGTTTTCTAGAATAACAGAACTTATAGAATGAATATCACCATCTGTATCTACACACACACACACACACACACACACACACACACACACACACACACACGGGATTTATTAGGATGACTTACAGATTGTGATCTAGCTAATCCAACAATGACTAATGAAGTGGAAGGTCCAAGAATCCAGTAGATTCTTGCTCGAATGGTGAGAGCAAGCAGGCAAAGAGTGAAGCGTCCTTCTTCCCTGTCCTTCTATAGGCTTCCAACAGAAGGTGTGGTCCAGATTAGAGGTGAGTCTTCCCACCTCAAAGATCCAGATTAGAAGTGGATCTTCCCATTTCAAATTAAGCAAAAATCCCTCCCAGGTATGCACCTGGGATTTTGGGGTTTTAGTTAATTCCAGATGTAGTCAAGTTTACAACCAAGAATAACCATCACAATATTTTCTTACAAAAAACTATATTCAATTTCTTCCCATATTTTTCCAAGTGATCCAGGGATCTGAGAGTTTGAATAAAAAAGATTATATTCTCCAAACTAGTAACCCTCACAAAATGGCACAGTAGTTCACACTCATAAATGGAAGGAGGCAAATAAAAATGTTTACCTAGGGCTGGGTGTGTTGGCACACACCTTTAATCCCAGCACTTGGGAGGCAGAGGCAGGGGGATCTCTGAGTTTGGGGCCAGTCTGGTCTACAGAGTGAGTTCCAGGACAACCAGAGCTATACAGTGTTTCAAGAAGAAAAAAAAAATGTTTCTCTAAGAATAATTCATTCCTGCTATTCCTTGTGCCAACCTGCATTAGTCCATTTTCTCTTATAGCAAAATACTTGAGGATAAATACCTTATAATGAAAATAAGCTTCTATAGCTCACAGTTTTCGAGGGAAGAAGTTTAAGCTAAGGAGGTCTCGCTGGTTCACCCTTCCCTGTGAGCTGAGCAGCAGCTTAGCGCCCCCAGCTGGGGACAAGCTTTCAAAACATGAACCTGTAGGAGACCTTGAGACTTGAACCAGAACATGGTCTCTGTTTCCCGGTTGGTCTCTTGGTTTCCCGGTTGGTCTCTTGGTTTCCCGGTTGGTCTCTTGGTTTCCCGGTTGGTCTCTTGGTTTCCCGGTTGGTCTCTTGGTTTCCCCGGTTACCTCAACTCAAACAGCTTCCTCTTAGCCCGGTCTCCACCATAATGCCCTGTGCTCTGCAGTCCCAAAGGGGTGGAGCCAAGTGACTATGACTTCAGCCCATATAGTTCAATTGTAAACCCAAATCTTTCTTCCTTTGAAGTTAATTTCCTTGAGTATTTCATCGCAGCAAGAGAAGCAATTAACACATGTGATCACCAAAAGGTAAAGACGGTGTTGTGTTCCTAAGCATCAACCCATCTACGGGGGCGGGGGGGGGGGGGGGGGGGAGCCAGGACTCAGCTTGAGCATCCTCTAGATGAGCCAGGGGCTGTGTGTAAACTAAATAGGGACCAGATACACACACTACAACCAGAAGACAAACTTCCTGGACTGGGAAAGACTGTTAGCCTGGACTTCAGCGAAGACTTGGGTTATCATAACATTGTCCTTGTGAGGGATGCTCATAGGCACCAATCCTGTTCTCCTATGCCAGACATCAAGGGTTGGATCCTCCTGGCAGGAAGAGAAAGTTGCTCTTCACACAGTAAATTGGAGTGAAATAATTTGGATCCTGGGAAACTCTGAGCAGCGGGCCACAGCTATGGACCCCAGACATGTTGTTTCTCAGCCCTCCAGCCCCTGGTTCTCAATCTCCCTCTGAATACAGGCTTTCTTTGACCTTGACAATGCTCTTCAAGGACATGGTCTCTCTCTCATTTAGCAGTTTTTTTTTAAGTACTCATAGGAGCCCAGGGCAGACCACTGAGGTGACTTTGACCATCAGCCTTGGCAGACAGAGTCCCACATCTCCTTCTCTGTAGTCACCATAGGGGGGTTAGATGTCCAAGGCATTCCAGTACCAGGCAAATACTGGGAAAGCCTAAGAACCCTGGGGTGAGTGGGAAGCCTTGAGCAGCCCACCAAATTGCCTGCCTAGACTGCTCTTGTTGTGAACACTATTCCTGGGAAGATGGGAACGAAGGTCTACACACTCCAGACAGAGACTCAACAACAGACCAAAGTCCAGATGCCACTCACGTCCAACTTGGCAAACCAATGAGTTTTATTGGCACAACTTACAGGAGTTTGAGTGAGGGAATATTTACAGGAGCAGAAATGACTCAAAGAGAGCTGCATCACCAAAGTCCGTGCCAGCATGGGTAAAGGTTCACCAAAGCTGGAGCCCTGGAGTCCACCGCATAATGTGTAGGCAGCTCTACATCTCTTCTTCCAGGCCACTGGGCTGGTCTCTGTTTCTTTCAGTGGCTAGTCTGGTGTGAGCCTCTGTGAGGCAGATCAACCTATCTGAGAACATCTCCCAACAGGCCTTTCTTTTTATATACACTAAGGGAGGAAGAGACCTAGTGAACCTCTTCAGTTTCGGGGACTTCCTGAAGCCTCTGAGAAGTTTACTTCCTGAGTTTAAGGAGTTTCCAGGAGGATGGAATGTGCCATCTCCCTTTAGAACATCATGTGTCTTAACACACCTCCCTCCAAGATGGAATGTTTTGTCTCAGAGGAATTGCTACACAAAACTTCCCCATAAGACCTACAAATGAAATCTGAGGGACTGTGGTCCCGCCCCTGAGGCCAGCACTGGGCTTTCTCAACATGTGTGAGCCTCAAGAGCCTCTCCTTCCCAGACTGAAGCTTTGAACCAAAGACGTAATAAAATAATATTTTTTTACTTTCGCTGCAGGTGTTGAGACTGAAAAAGGACTTCAGGATCAGAAGTCACCCACATTCTTCCCCCACAATCCCACGAACATCCCCACTAAGGCGAGCTCTTCCGTCTGTTTTCTAGATGAGGAAATTGCATTCAGGAGTTAGGAAATTATTTTCAGGGACAAGAGAAGTAGCTCCCGG